ATCATTTTTTAAATATTTTGTTTGAATATGACCAAATCTGGTAACACAACACACAAAATAATCAAAGTGTAAATATACATGATTGTACTTGATTTTCGTATTCATTTAAAGTTAGTGAATATTATTCATTAACCATTTGTGCTTATAAGAGATACATGACTGCATTTAAATTTGAATATTTTTCACATTGCTAGAATTTCGAGAAATGTAAAGGAAAAATTCATATATCAATATATACATGTAAAACATGCTTAGAAGTATGAAGAATACTAGGGAGAGTAAAAAATTATCCGCACTTTGCCTGTAACTCTCTTTGTTTCGCAAGGCCTCTGCTTTCTCATATTATAACGTCATACTATAGCTATAATGGTGTAAATGTTTTATCTCGATTGCTTCAATTTTGTTCTTTGTATTGAAGAAGTTAACATGTAGTGAAGAGTTAACATGGCTTCTACGATCATAACCGAAATGTAGTCTGAAAGAGTAGTAGAGGCTGAAATTCTTAACTAGCTTTTAACACAATATCTTGCTGAAGTGTCTACGAATAGATAGAATTTTTTTATTAGTGATGGTTGACGGATGTCCTGCTTCATTATACGTCACGCTCGTTTGCAGCCATTCTTAAACTTTTCTATCCATTCGTAGACACTTCTGCGAGATAGTGCACTATCGCCGTGTTGTCTTAAAAACCTCCTATGAATTTCAGTCCCTTCAGACTATACCTTCAGACCGCAAAAATCGAATCACTGCTCTCTGTTCTTCGCTGGTGCATACTTGCAATGGAGATTGGTATTAACTCCTCAGCACAAAGGACAAAATTGAAGCAATCGAGATAAAACATTCACACCATTATAGCTATAGTACGACCTTAAAATATGCGAAAGCAGAAGGCGTTGCGAATAGTCTAAGAAAGTTAGAGGGAAAGTGTGGATAATTTTTGACTTGTCCTATAAAAAGTATGAAGATCATCTTTGTTTCCATTCTTAAACATTTTTACAAATATTTACTTTTAGTTTTTCATAAACATCAGTTGGTGAAAAAATTGCTGAGAAAATTAAATTCCATGAAAATGTAATGAATCTGACAAAGTCAATGTCATATTTTGTTTCTCAATCGTTAATTAGAAACTAAAACTATAAGTTAGTAACTTGATAAACTATAAGTTAATATTGATAATTTACTTTTATGATATACAAAAAAAGACTGCATAAATTTTATTCTCAACAGTAAATCTCTTTACAGTGAAACCTCAATTATTCAGAATAATACGATTCATATTATGAACACATTACACATGGAAAATTATAATTTCTTATATTACATATATATTACACACGTATTTTTTAATCATCTTCTTCCAATCTTTTTGAGCCACTAAATTATATTTTGTTTAAAGTTAGTACTCTCTAGGGTATCCATAATATATATTCGGATAATCCAAGATAGTTATCCTTTATAGTTATAAGATGGATTTTTCTTTGCGACATCCTCATTGTCAAGAAAACTGGAACTTTTATCGAATATTCACTATACAATTCATATCCTATTATTAACATGAAAAATCACAAGTATTATTAACATGAAAAATCGTATTATAAAAAGATATTTGGAAAAATAAAAGTCTTGATAATAAACTTGATATATCTCCAATTATTTATATTTTAATTTTATAATAAAAATTTAGTTTTACAAATTTTTCATTTCCAATATTTTGGTGAACCAAAAACCAAACAAATCCGAATATTGAATATAATTTGTTAAATACATTTTTCAAAAATATAAAAAACTATTCTTAGTCACATTAATTTTATTAAATCGAATGTGAGATTATTTAAACAAACTATATATAATTCAATTTTTTTCAATTCCTACAACTTTTAAAATTTAGATGTTTAAATCAGTTTTAACACCAAAGTCTTTGATTGGTCTAGCCACAATTGGGGTCATTAACAATTAATTTTATTTGTTAACATAAATTTAAAATTTAATCCTTTTAGTACTCAAAAGCCAATATATTTTAATACTTTAAACATTCTTTTACATATTTGAATATTTCGGCTTTTCTTATTGGCACCTTATTTTTACAAAATGTTTCTAAAACTAAATACATACTAAGAAGTAGTATGTTTGTTTTACAAAGATTTTTACATGTTTCTTACTACCACTTGTAAGTTCTAAACGTAAATATTTTGTACTTCTAGACGATATATAAAAAAATTGTAAGATACTAAGGCGGTTAAAGGGATATTCTAAAGCAGAGATGTGTAACTCGATGTAACTCGAAGAGATCGATACAGTTGTCATACGCCCTAATGCGTCATATGCTCTATGATCAGAAGCCACCCTACTACTTTCAAAAATGTGATAATAAAGTTCATATAAATACAGCCCGGAAAAATAAAGAAAATAATCAGTTTGTAAAATCAATTTGCGTCTTTATTCTGTCCAACTTCGTCGCGCATTTGTTTTTTTTTTTTACTCGATTAAGAGACTCCCACTGTGATACAGTGAAAGGGATGAAACTAGCGATCAAGAAAGTAGGGGCAAAGGCTCGCGGGCCACTAGTTACACATCTCTGTTTTAGAATAACAAATCCAAAAAATTGATCTTTTGTTTTTTGCATATCAAAAGTACATTTCAGAAATATGGCGGACTAGTGGCAAATAAAATTATCTCTGTGTGAAATGCAAATAAAATTTTAAAAACTTTAAACGCGTTTTTTCTTGAAACAATGTTTTCCGAAATAGTTGTCATGATATCTTAAAAATATCTTTTTCTAATTTTTTAATTTTTTTAAAAACCAGAAAAATCGAAATCTTATCTTATTAAATTTTCAATATCTTACTTTCTTTTTGACTGCTTTTTACCTGCTTTAATCACATTTATATCAATTACATTTTTTTGTTTCTAAAACAGAACAGCTTTAATCATAACAATCATCAACGTATCTTTTTTTCATACCAAAAATGAATAAAAAAATTTTTGATTATTTTGATCAAAGGCAAGCTAATATGTAAAGACAGTAAATATGTAAAAACAATGTTAATATCATTTAATTAAATTTTTGTAAAAGAAATATATTTGTAAAGAAGTATAAAAAGGCATTCATCGTACTAGAATACTTCCTTAAAGAATATTTTCGCATCATACTAATTATAAGTTATCAGTGTTCTTCTTTTCTATAAGAAGACATTCTTTTTTACATTAACTATAAATTAAAACTAATTCGAAATTGATATCGTAAAACCTCCAAAAAGGTTCTAAATAGATTTTAATTGTTGCAATTATTGATGATCACTAATTTTAAACAATATTATATTTTAAACAATATTTATTATCTAATTGCCTGTGAGAATGAAATTCAAAAATCTAACTATTTTTTTGATATTCTGTGTCTTTTCTAACCTATTTTTTCGATATTCTGTGAAAGCACCATTACAAGAAACATGAAACTGTTATTAATTACCAAAATATTAATCCATTGCTAAGAATAAAAGGCTAATATCTAATAATTTCAAAATATTCGATTAGATAAATTTTATAATCAATCTGCAATACGATAGCCAAAAATTGAGTCAAAAACAGATGCTATATTAATGGTATTTTATTGCTATTAAAAGTAAAAAAAAAGTAAAAACAACAAAATACAATTTTAGGAATAATTTCTTTAATTTAAATAATATCAAATTGATCTTCATACTTTTCAAATATCTTTATTTCGAACTATTAGTTTTATAAATATTATAGCCTTGAAGACAATTTTTTTATTACACTTAGATTTCAAATTCAAATCACCTTTCGTATGTTTAAATTAAATTTTTTACGTGTCAATTAATTAAATATAATAAAGTTTTATTAGGGAATATCATTAGTATAGTAAGTAATTTACTAGATACCGGAAAAATTCGTGCAAATGAAATGAAATTGGATTTTAGTGAATAATTCACAAGTTTTATACATGGTATTAATAGAAAGTTACATTCATGATACAATTTTTCAATTGTTTATCCATTTGTTTATATAAAGTTAAAGATAGATAACGAAAAGATAAAAATAATATTTTTTTACTCTGTGAGTAAAAATTTGAAAATTCTCCAGCAAAGAGAAGATTGTGAAAAAAACCGCACAGAAATGGCTCAAGAGATCCAAAAAAAAATAATGAATCATCAAAAGATGAACCACGTTCAAGACAACGTATATTTGTTATTGAAAATTGAATTGCGAGAATATTTATATTCAAACCAAAAGATATTCAAAATTCACATATTTGATTTTAATAAAATCATGTGCCAAAATCAATTGAACAAATGATATCAATGCTGAAAGGCGATAGAAATAAATGGTGATTACTTCAAATAAAAATCAAATAAAATTAATTCGAAAGATTTCATTTGAATTTTAATCTATAATAGAAATCCGAACAAACTTTTTCCGATACCACTGTAATTAGTTAATTAATTAATTAGTTCATTAACAAATTTCTCCAAAAAATACAATTTAACACGATTACCTCTTGAGAGCAAAATCATTTCTGTCGTGTGCTGATAAATAAAATTTAATAAATATAAACAATAAATTAATTGATTTAATTTAATCTTCCAATACTACTAATTAAAATAAGTCTTCAGTTATAACGAAGATACTTTTCTGCAGGTTTACCAGATCGCATTACAAAAAAAGAAAAAAATATGTTCATGATTTTCAAAATAATGTTTGAGAAATTTCGAATATAAGATTTTAATTTCTTTCAAAGCATTTCCGTATTCTGTACAAAACAGTGAAAATGATTTGCTTTCTCTAAAAAGTTATGCTGTACCATAATCAAATAAATAATAGAACCAGAAGAATTTGTATTTTGCTACAAAGATTAAATACCATCCATCATTGAAATTAATTGTTCAATTAAAATTTTTGTTTTACTTTTGATTGTCAAGTGTCTGTCATCACTGAGCATACGAATATTCACAAATTGATTCTAGTAAATTAATTTCTTTACTTACAGAGGTTTCGGTGGATCACTAGCAAGCAGTGTACCGTCGTTTCTTGCATTATTTCCTCCTGCATCTTCAAGATCGTCATCACTGTCGCTTTCAACAGACAAAGCCTATAAAGACAAAGAAATGAATAACATTCGATCAAGATGAAAGTATAGATTGCATGATATATACTGTCCAATTGCGAGACTGAAACATTCGGAGAAAATTATAACGTTATAATGCTACTACGCGTGTAAATAAATTATGGTACTCACTTGATCGAGTATACTGGAAGACTGTGGCATTTGTTTATTGTTCTGATCGTTGCTGCTTGCAGGTTGACCGGAATTGGATGTTGATGATGCAGCCTTCTGCTGCCTGTTCGGCCTTGGCGGGGCCTCTGGGCCCTGTGACACACCAAGCTCGTTGAGTTGAGCGGCCAGCATGTCCAAGTCCTACCACCCACACACACACACGCACAACCCCGTTAGTCACTGATCCAAAACACCTCCAAAAATTGTTTAAAAGCCGCCACCAACCAGCCAGGCGAAGCAAATAACAATGATAACAAAAGATGATGCAAGCTATTCTCATCGCTCTTTAATTTATCCTCCTATTATTTTATTATTTACTATAATGTATTTATTATTATTCATTTTCCTTTATTATCAAACTTCTATTAAATGTATTGTCATTCAAGTTTCCTAGCAATTCGTAGAATATGATTAAACGAATAATTCTCAACTATAAAAACTATCTTATCTGTAGTACAGTGAAATTTGTAGTTTTTACATGAACAGAGATATTACGCGATAATTGTTAAACAAAAATTCAAAAATTGTCAATTACATTATCTATATAATCTAAATCTGTCTTATAATCTTATGTTTGATTCTAATGTAAAAAAAAAAAAATTAACTGAAAGATATTGCAAAGATTACGGGGAATTTTATATTGCATACGAAAAAATTTTTTCATCAATATCAATTTATATGAATAATCATAATTAATATATTTTCAAAATAAAATTCTCCTAACTATATTAAATTTTTCAACTAAAAACCTCGATGTGTTCGTTCAAAGACTAAAAAATATTTGAAAAAATATAATCTGATGTTTCGTTACGTTGGTAACATACAGGATGTTACATTTGAGCGAAAATAATAGACTATTATAAGACTGCATGTCATCAAAAAAATATTTGCATAAAAGTTGCTCCGGTATGTAAAACGACATTATTTGACATAGATAATTTATTCCGTTAGTGGAATAAAAACAGAAATTTCAAGATCGAAATAATTTTTTTTAACAGAACCTTATATTTTTCTTGTTCATAATATGATGACTTTTCTTGTGATAAATATAACTTTGTGTAATATAATGTCATCGATTATTTAGGGAAGAATCAAGTAATATCGGATTGTTTTACTGCAACTTGCTTCACTCTCATTCGTCCCTTGTATCAATTTAATACATTTTTTTTTATAAAATGTGATAAAAAGTATAAGATCACGATATTAAATTAAACATCTCTATGAGTTTATATGCAATTGAATAGAAATTCAGTCTATTCATTGTTAATAAAAGAATTTGTAAACTTAACTATTTATCTTTTCTTGTATCTTTTCTTCTTTTAACAGCAAAACACAAATTAAGTTGGAAAAATGAAAGACTGATGAGTCTCAGTGTAAGAACATCTTATCTTATCCTGACTATTTTGTGGTAGTCTCAATAAACATCTCATCACACCATTATCATATGAATAAACGTCATCATACTATGAATAAAAAAATCTAAACTTCCATTTTTAAAAAATTTGCTTGACTTTGAAGTTGAAAACTGTGCTGTTATTTAATAATG